ACAGCTGAAACACAACAAGGATAAATTGGGAAACATGCAAGCCATTCAATTGTGTTATCAAATTAGAATCATTCATAATATGTTGTTGGAAGGCTTTTAGGTTTACCTCAGACCCAGCTGGAGGACACACACTGGAAACCACGATTGGAAACCATTTAAGGTGTTTTCGAAGCTAACCTCTGGAAATTTTCCATAGAAAAATTAGTAAAGGAGAGTGCTTACGTTTTAAAAATAAGTATATTGCAAAGCACAAGTGTATGAAGCAACCTTGTTTGAAATTTTCCATAGAAAAATTAGTAAAGGCTTACGTTTCATACTAGAATAAAGGCACAAATCCATACTTGTGCCAACATATTCTTTTGTTGTATGAGGAAGTGTAATGATTTATTATTTATTAATATTTACTGGACACAATTTTTAAAATTTGTGTCATAAAAAGGAAATTTATAATTATTAATATTCAATGGGCATTTATTTTTAAATTGTGTCATTTGTCTATCTTAAGACCGAGAAGAGATCCTCTCCGGATAATGGGCAAAATTCTCAATTGTGCCCTTAGTTTTGTACACAAAGCCCATTTTTCTTGTAGTGAATGGACCTGTATAATGGGCAAATGGGGATCACAAGATTTAAATTGAACAGTCAAAATTGCTTGGTCCACAAATTCCAAAGTGTGAGATCCATAGAGGATGTCAATTCACATGTGTCCTTAAAAATAGTTGAGGCTTTGAGCCAATGTTTCATACGACAGACAATGTGACCCTAATTATAATATAGATAATGTTAGGGAGATTAAAATTTTTTAAACTAAATTATGTGTCACCAATAAGAAACAAATACGTTAATTGACACTTAATTAAAATATTTGATTTTCCTAGTATTATCCTTATAATGTTAAAAAGATTTGACCCAAGATTTTCTTAAGGAAAACTGAAAATCTTTGTTTATAATTCTCTATAGGTTGCTAAATGATTGAAAAATAGTTCATGTTTGGGAGTGATAGAGACTGATATTCGGTCATGCTTGTCATTTCATGAATTGAAGGCCTCTCATTTATACATGGAAACAAACTTTGTAAGAACGACTTCGTTAGGGCTGCATACGAAAAAAACTTGAGTATGGAAGATCAGACAACTCTCACAATTCACAAAGGGTGGAAAACTAGGACCCTGTGTAATAGAAGTAGTACCTACGTCAACTATTCAGCTAGTTAATAAACTATCATATCATGTGAGATAAGCACATAAATAAAACTTATAGATTTGGAGTTTTAAACTTTTATAAGAGACGTCGTACGGATGACATGATCAGACGTCATTAGCTAACTAGTTAACTCAAAAGCTTATGGGGGAAAATACAAAAAAATTGAGGGTTGTGCTATTCACACATCATTTTTTACTTTTCACATTCTTTTTAATTTTCGACCGTCGGATCAAATAAATTGAAGAAGATCAAATAACAAAAATTAACAAAAAATGTATAAAAAGTGAAACGAGATGTGTAGATAGCACAATTTAAAACCCGACTTGTTTCTAAAGGAAAACAAAAGTCCAAAATTTAGTGGTGGTTGGCATCCGTGGGAGTCGCTTTCTCCAATGAAAAAAAATACAGAACTGTTAGAAACAGCTAAGCTTCTGGAACTGACATGATGGACCCTTGTTTTAATTTTACTTAATTAAATTAATTAATTATGTTTTACTTTAAAGTAATCACGAGGCATGCTAATAGTTAATTAACACGAGAGAAACACAAGTGGGTTTTTTGTTCTGAAGTTGGTTATTTGTAAATAAGTTGAGAGTGAGTGCCACATACACGATAATACATTGTGTCGTTATACTCATTTATTAAGTTGTTGAATGATAAAAGTTGATAGATGAAGATGAAACTGTTTTTAAAACAGATTTTTTTGGTATGGCCGCAACACTAATTATACATTGTCGTCAATATACTTAATATTAAGCTATTGAATTATACACTGTTGCTCTCAATTTATGAACCTATACTAGGTGAAATAATAATATTGTGTGACATTATGATGATCCTACGCATTTGTGCGAATTTACAACTATTTTTGGAAAATTCTCCTTGAAACACACTAAAAGGTCGATATCAAAAAAATATTTTTCGGTTTTCAAGTGAGTCTAAAAGCCGATAATGAAATTAAACGGTTTCTAAATTTTCAAGCTCTAAAGACTCTGAAATATCCTAATCTAATTTAAGCAACAAAGATTACAATTCGAAGTTGAATAGTGAACGAGGGACATGCTGCTTTAACTAACTTGTCTGTGTCTGCAGACACATTTGAAATTTTAAGTGGAAAAGACTTAGGAAGCCAGTTCACAAAAAGAAAAGGTTTAGGAACCAATACATACTTCTCCATTCCATAATATTGGGCCTTGGCACATATAGCACAGTTCTGGTATAAATAGTGGCTTCAACACACCTTTTATTTATTTATTTTGTGCACACCTTTTATTAATCATGACCATTGATTTTACATTATGTCTTACACTTGCATTATCGCTCTAATCTCATCGCACGTCAAACTAACAAATCCTCCAATTAGTATATCTTTCATCATGTAACGTGTGTCATGTGATGATATAGACAATAACATGGGCATATACCACAACTGTATTAAGATAGGACTTTCTTGGGTACTTCGGAGTATCCAGTATTCCGGGCATTTTAACCGTTATACCTTGTTGATAGGATTTTTACTACTCATGTGAACGAGCTTAAATCTCCTATTTTACTTGCAAGAATCACAAGGTTATTGTAGTATAAACGGATTTCGCAAGGTCGTCTTCATAGGGATTATTAAATAATTCGAACTAATCAGATTCCATTTAATTATTGTAAAGTAGAAATTGAAGTGATTGATTTTATAATCTAATTAAAATAAAAACGAAATTAATGAATAAAAATAAACAATCTGCAATATTAGAGCTAGAGAAAGAAAACAGTTTGTGGGAGAATAAAATTAAGAAAGCACTAGGGTTCCACCATCACCTAGCAATCCTATGAATTTTTACCAATTACTTATAATCTACACATGCCACTTTGAAGGTTAGATTTTCCTAATTCATATTTTACTTAGAACCTCCAACATAGAACGTATATCTCACATGCAACCCGTCCGGACGTTCGGATCAAATATAAACATGAAAGACTCATTATGCTTTATGAAAATCCTTTGAAAAACCATGCAATTCTTAAAACGTGATATTCATCCTAAGAGAAATTACAATTATTAATCACAAGAAGCCAGCGTCAATTTCAGGGAACCTTCCGACCAAAATTGCATCAAATTACTTTTCTAAAAATCCTAATGGTGATCAGGCATTAAAACAATTAGATAGTTTTTATCCCGGTGATTAACAATTCAAAGTACGCATGCAATCAATCATAAGTAATTAAATAAAAATCACATATTCATGCTAAGGCTCAAGGCTTCGCCCTAGCAAAATAAATTAGTTCCGCATATTCATAATTGAAATCATAAAAAATATATTCAAGAAAAGGATTGAAAGCACCTTCAAGTAAAAAGTCTTCAAAACCCTAACAATTCTCTTTGTCTCCAAAATTGCATAAAAGAAAGCGTCCCGAAAAACTGTAGACGGCCAAGCAATATATCTGCCAAGCCTCCCTCGCAAACCCTAGCAAACTAAAATTAATAATCCTCCTCAAACTTAGGAAACATAACCCTAAATTAAATGATAAAATTCGTCTAAAATCTGAACAGCCACGTTTTGGCCCATAAGCTGCTCCAAAACTGCCCCAATATAGCTGGATTTAATGTTTGGGATATTCTGAACACTTTTCCAGAAGGCCATGAACCCATCCGAGGTCATCTTGGGCTCCAAAAACTCAATTTAAGCCCAAAAACGTCATTTTCCAGCACTGCACACTACTTCTTTATTTCATCGTCAGAAAATAACCGCGTGGTGGAAAAATCCCAATTTTTGATACGATCAAGCTAAGTGACTCACGAACGTCCTCCAACTAGAATTACTCCAAAATTCGTCCATTTGATCCTGTTTTGCTCCAGAGGAAGTCGAAAGTCCTATATTGAAAATACAATTCAAAGTATCAAAATTCTTCTAATATATTAACCAAAATATACTAAGATTATGGTAAAATATATAATATAAAATCTACTCATCACTTGTCCAAAATAAAAATAAAAATATTAAGATCTAACAGTTAAAACATCTGAAATACCAGATACTTCAGACCACACAAGAATTTTTGGTACCAAGAATACCCCTCATTAGACTGTAAACGGATTGAGTTTATTGGGTTGGGGTCAGGTTGAACCCGACCCGTTAAGTTAACGGATCATCCGAACCCAATCCATTAAGCTAACGGGTCATCCGTTTAACCCGTTAACAATTATTAGTATTATTCTTTTTTGCATAGAGTTTATATTTTGTTGTTAAGACTTTATTGAAATTACTAAAATATCATCAAGTAACGGGTGCTAATGGGTCTAACGGGTTGACCCAAAGTGATCCGTTATTTAACGGTTGTTAATGGGTTCACTTGTTAGTGACCCGACCCGTTAAGCATCCACCCAAATACTAATATTAACTGGTTGGGGTGAGCTAACGGATCGGGTCCAAAATGCCAGGTCTATCCCTCATTACACATATACCATAAAAAAACTTAACAATTATTGTTTCTGCCACCAAATACAAGGTGAATGATTTACCAACCAGCAGTACTAGGATTTGGCAGACTCTGGTCTTTGGATGGTGAATCAGTTGAATATTTACCGTGTCAAAAGGACAGAGAATCCCATTGATTGCAGGTTAAGAAAGATGGTTTCTTTTCATACAACAATGATTTTGTAGTACGAGAAAAACTTGTGTAGGAGCATCCGAATGGAAGCGACTGATCTAACAAGCAAATGTTTCCTAGTTCCATGTGGAATGACACAGATCATATGAACAGCAATAGGAAGGAAGCTACCGTTATAACGAAATTGCACATAAACGGACATGAAGAACAAGATTAGATATTCATATTCCTTCATGTAGAAAAAGAGCACAGCATATCAAAGTATCCCATCGAGACCTATTTCTGCACCAAAAACATTATTATCTAGATTAGAAGTTGAAAGGGGTCGTGCCGTCAAGTAGCCCTTGACAGGTTGATCCAAGAACAAAACTGACTAGCAAACCGAGCCACTCAGCGCGCTTTGGAAACATATGCAAAAGATGCTGCAGCAATAAGGGTTGTCGCTGATGAGATCAAGGTCCAGAAACTCTTCTTCTTCTGTGCCTCGGATGACTTCTGCATAGACTCGAGTTGTTTCTGCAAGTCTCCAACCATCTTCTCCTTGTTTCTGAAAGCAGTCTGTATGGCATCCAACTCCGCAGCATATGGCTTAATTTCTTCGCCAACCTTGAGATCATTGGTAGCCACTTCTTCCTTGCCTTCGGACTTCAAGGATACACGTGCTGCAGTGTTCTTCAGCAGAGTCAAAGCAAGCTCCATTTTGGTTCCTTCTGACTCAAATTTAGCCTCCCAATCACGAATTTTCCTCTGAGCCTCAACAAGGTTCTTCTGCAGCACATCTTTTTCCTTCACCAATGTTTCCAATCGGCTCTCCATGGCCTTATTTTTCTCAGCAACGTTCTCTTGCACACTCCTCAGTTTCTCCAACTCTTTCTCGATTTCTTTGATTGTCTTCTCCCTCCCCGAAATGGTCAGCATTAAGTCTTCCACTTTCTTCTTCTCCCCATCCAAATTCTTCAGAGCCTCTGCCTTCTCCTCCGTAACACGATCAAGAGCATCTTTATATCGACTAACTTCAGAAACCAACTGCGCATTCTTCTCCTTCTGCTCGTTGCATGAATTTCGCAATGTAGAAACAAAATCCCTTTCTTCTTTCACTTGACTTGTCAACTCAGCAATTTCCTTCTCTTGCTTCACTTTTGCCTCCTTGATCTCATTCTTCTTTAGCTCGATTTCCTTGATTCTTTCCTCCTTTTTCTTCAGTTCCTCAGTAACCATATCCAAAAGTTCCTTCTGTGATTTCACTTCCTCAGTCAACTTCTCGAAACTCTGCTCTTTCTCCCTCTTCTCTTCCCCCAAAACCTTAATCTCCCTCTCCAACACCTCTCCCTTCCCCATAGCCTCCTCAACAATCTTCTCCAACTCCAAAACCTTCACATGCAACACTGCATTCTCCTTCCTCAAACCCAATTCGATCTTACTCAACTGCCCCGCTTCATTCTCCAATTGAAAAATCCTCGCTTCATGCCCGCTCTTTTCCTTCTCAATCTCATTCTTTTCCATCACAACCCTTTTAATCTCCCTCTTCAAATCATCGATCACTCTCTCCGACTCATCGCGCTTCATCTCAGCCAACTCCTTCTCTCTCATTGCAATCTCAACCTCCCTCTCCTTCCCAGCCTTGTCCTGTACCAACCCATTGCAATGCACTTGCAGCTTCTCGAATTCCTCCCCGAAAACCCTCTCCTTCTTTTCCATTTCCACCACTTTCAACTTCAACCCATTCGCCTCCTCCGAGAGGCCACCGAAATCCCTCTTCACACAATCCCTCTCCCAGCACACTCTGCTCAGCTTCCCCTTCTCGATTTCGAGTCCACCCGCAAGCTCCTCCACTTCCCTCTTCAACTCCACAATCTCACCATCTCTCTCACTCATCGCCCTCTCAATCTCAACTCTCTCTCTCATCATTTGCCCCATCTGGGCCAGAACAAAAACACCATAAACACTCTTCTCCAACTCCAACCCAACATTTTCCTCGCTCTTCTCACTCAACTCGCTCACAAGCGACTCACTCTCCACTCGGAACCGACTAAGCTCGGACTCCAAACCCGCCTTGGCCTGCACCAGCGACTCCACCTGCTGCCGGCGGTCCTTGGTCTCCTTGAGCAGCAGAGAGTTCAGCGACTTGAGGTTCTCGAGCTTCTCGGACGGCTCGTCCATGGCGGCGGCGGCGGCTTTGTGGGTAATGTGGTGGGTTTTGGAGTGATGGGTTTCTTCTTTGGTGTCATTGGGTTGGAGGGTCACTTTCTTTTTGGCCATTTTTTGTGGTTGATGTTGGTGGTAGGAATTGTGAGATTGGGGATTTTAGAGGATTAGGGTTTTTTCTAGGGTTCTAAACTTTCAATGGCTGAGATGTGGGGTTGGTAGGAATATTTATAAAGGACAATGATTTGTGAGAGGAGAGAGAGAGAGAGAGATGGTCATTTGTTTTGAATTTGGGGGGATGGTTGGGATTCAAAATTTGGGGCCCATTTGGCTCTTCTGATCCAGAGACTGGAAAAAGTTTTTGATGTGCTCGGAACACGGCACGGTACGCTGTATGTTACTATATGATTGGAGGGACGTTTGAAACAAAAGATTTTTTTTCAATTGTATATTGACATGTGTATAACGTTGTATTCCTGTTATATTGAAAAATTTCTCCATCCAACGAGTACTTTTCAGACTTTTTTCTTTTTTCAAAAAGAAGACTAGTTGGTAGTTTCGTCATGACAATCCACCATTTTAGAAACCTAAAAGACTCTTAGAAGCATTTCAACTTCTTTGGCCACTATATGCGATTTATTGTACTTTTCATATTTTGATAAGCCCTAAAATTTAGAAAATTGGAAATTGGGAAAGTTGGTTAACTAAAAATATATGGGGCTGGCTGTTTCAATTTTATTGGATGTCCCTTTGGGGACATGGGGCTGACTGTTGGGTGATGACTGATGAGTAGTGAATGCTCCTCACGTATCGAGAAATTATTGCCCAGAAGTCTAAACGACTGGATGGTTTTGTAGAAGTCTAAATGACTGGATGCTTTTGTATAGTCATTCGAATAAAAAAAATAATAATTTTAATAAAATACTCGGTACTATTTATTTTAACGAAAAATCATATGTTTATACTAAAAAGTCAATTATAATACTATTCACTTTACTCTTTATCTAACTCAAAGTTTTCAAACCATTTCCTTAAAAAAAAAATTAATGTTGTCTTACTTCTATAGGAGAATAGGTAATTCAAAGGTTTTGTTTCCCCTTCCTTTGTATGGGTGTATCCAAAGAGAAACAAAATGCGTGCAAAATATTTTTTTTTCTATGTATACATCATTAAAGTCCTCTAAATAGGAAGCAAATTCTCTCTAGATCTATACCTCCGGAGCTTAGGAATCAAATAATCTTAGCATTTGAAATTTATCTTGTGGCCAAAAGTTATTGTAGCTTTCAAAAGTCTTCTCTGCCTTTTCAATGGCAGCAAGAATCCAGAATGCACTTGTACTCCGTCTGTGTGGTGATAACGAAAATAGATCCTCTCCGGATTTCTCCCTCAAAAGCCCAAGGATCAAGTGATCCGGACCTTTAAAAATTTGATCCAACGGTTAAAAATTATTATAGCTTTTGATCGTAGGATCAATTTGAAAGGCGAGGATTATTTGATCAGTATGCTCTGTATGTCTGTAGAGGATCTGCCTCCCCATAATTTTCATATTCCACGGAATTTCAGCAAATCAATTAACAAATGTTCTAGTTGGGTTGATTGGGGCGACTCAATATTTATTAGACTATAACCTACCAAAATGAGAAAAAAAGTACATAAACCATTCCCATAATTTATATAGATAAGTTAATATTGCAAGTGATGAATTGTTATGATGCGGTGGTGGATTTTGAATTTTAATTTTGGAGGGTCCTTGTTAAAAGATCTAAGCTTCTTTTAGACGGAAATAGGACGATCCTTTTAGTTTTTTTAAGTGAAACATTTCGTCAAGGCATTTTAGTCAAAATGGTTCGTAGAATAGCATAAATCCTCATTTTGGTTTATAAGATTTAAAATTAATAGAAGTGGTCCCGGAGTTGGTCTACCTTCAATCATTTGGACCACTTCGTGAAAAATTTATGTTAAAGAAGTGTCAAAACGACAAAAATATGTTCAATTTAATAAAAATGAACCCAAATAAATTGACAAAAATTAAAAGTACTTTTGCCATATTTTTCTTACTTAACGAAAATTTTATAAAATTGTCAAAATAATTGACGGTAGAAAACTTCAATTTTATATTTAAGAATCTAAGTAAGTGAGGATTTATTTGTTAATGTCAGAATAAAATGGCGTTCGTCAAACACTTGGCGGCCATGCACTCATCTGCGGCTTCCAAGCAAGTATATCAACGCGTAATGTTGAGTGCCGTTAACCTGTGTTCCCGAGTGATATCGGCTCATGCTGCAGCGCGTGCAGAGATTTGCCAAGTGATCAGTTCATCCAACACCTGGTAAGTTGAACTCGCATCTTCCCCACTTGGAATTGGAACCCAGATATCGCATTGAAGAGGACGATGATGGTGGGAAGAGCTGTTTGGATGCTGACTGTGATTGGATGGCTTGGAGGTGTGCAGCTAAACCCAGTGGAAGCTCACCCTCACCGGATTCTTGTCGATACAGATGTGAACGTTGACGATGTTCTTGCTTTATTTTATCTCTTGAAGCAAAACAAGATGGAATTCGACTTAAAGGTTTCATCTTTTTCTCCTCTTTTTTTTTATTTTTTTTCCTGCATTTCATCAATTTTTCGTCCTAGAAATGTTGTAAATATGATTCTTTAAGCTTCAGACAAAATCGGGGCACTTCACTGTAAACTGAATTTGATAATTCATGTTAAGTTGAAGATAATTATTGGGTTTGTTTGGAACTGGTTATGTAGGAAGCACTTTTGCTATAAGCGTTTTTGAATTTTGATGGAATTGTTTCTAAATTGAAAATTTTATTACAAGTCCAAGTTATTTCTGAAAAAAGCAGTTGGAAGTGCCTGTGCGTATTCAGGAAGCACTTATATGACCCATAAAGCACTTTTAACTTTTTTATGCCAAGTGAAGTCAAAAGCGTTTTGGTTGTCAGAAAGTGATTTTAGCCCTAGAAACACTGCTAAAAGGATCCCATAATTAACAGCAGTAATAGTTGATTTCACTTTGGAAAAACTGTTGCTGGCCAAAGAAAGGTCATGATGTGCCATTTTGTATGAAACTATATGTCAATGGTGATAGGATTGTAAGGTAATGGAGGTTTGTGCAGGCAATTACTATTAATACAAATGGATGGAACGTGATGCAGGGCACGCTGTTCAATTATATATATGACATTCTTTCTGTGATGGATCGTGATGACATTCCGGTTGGTGTTGGAGGTGAAGGTGGTATTTTGCCAAATGACACCATCCAGCCTAATGTTGGAGGTTATCTTCCTATTATTGACCAGGTGTGTGTATAACCGAAAAGTTGTTCAACTTCAACCAAACTAGTTTGCCAATTATTTACGTTTAACAGGCTTGTTATAAGGTTTGAATGTCACGGTCATACCAAACTTTGGATTTTGTTTACAGGGACCGTCCACTGCAGGTGGCTGTAGATACAGACAATCAATACCACCGGGTCCAAAGTGGTCGTCTAGATGTAAATACAAACTATGGCTATGCGCAAGGCTTTACTTCCTAAGGTACCAAATTGTAGCCCTCAATTTTGTTTTCCTGATTTAGTTTTCCAGTTTAAAGTTTGTTGAACTAGGCAATCATTATATAAACTCAGGTACCGTCATGTTATATCTGGCAATATATATCTATATATATCCTGTGTTTACAATGAACAGAGGTAACAGAAAATATGTACCGCTTCAGCAACCTACGGCTCAGCAAGTGATGAAAGACGCGATATCTGCAGGTCCCATCACTGTGTTTCTTATGGGTATTCAGACGAATTTTGCCATTTTTCTTATGACGAATCCTCATTTAAAGAAAAATATTAAGCATATATATGCCATGGGAGGTGCTGTCAGATCAACCTTGCTCCGGAAATGCCCACTTCAGTGCTGTGCGGTGACATTGGTAATCTGTTTCGACAAGACAGCGACCCGTATGGAGAGTACAATATCTTTGGAGATCCTTTTGCTGCATACACGGTAAATTGTTGTTTGATGGTCATTCTGTGCTCAGTTAAAGTACAAAATTGGTAAAGATTATGGGCATATCAGGTATTGCATTCTGGCATTCCAGTTACGCTCGTTCCTCTGGATGCAACAAGAACGATTCCTCTAGATGAGCCCTTTTTTCAAAGCATTTGAGCAGAAACAGGATACGTTTGAGGCACAATATTGCTTCCAGTCCTTGAAAATGGTTCGTGATACATGGTCGAACGATGAATTTTATAAGGTAGTTTCCTATGATATCTTATTCTTCTATGTATGAGCTAAAAATCTGCAATTATGCAATGATTCTTGAATCTTAATATTAAGATGAATGTCAAATGCATAGTTTAGAGAGAGGTAGTTTCCTATGATATATTTCATGAGTTATTGACTATTTCGCAGGAATTTTGCATCTGGGATGCTTTTATGGTTGGTGCAGCGTTATCTCAAATGCGTAGTTTAGAGAGAGATCACAGAGAAAATGAATTTGCTAAATTTGTGTACATGAACCTCACAGTGATTACTTCAAACAGACCTTATGGAATATCTGACGGCTCAAACCCTCTCATCGATGGGCGTTTGATCCCAAAGTTTGGCGTACAGAAGAATGGGGTGCATAGTGGTCATGTTCAGATGGGAATGGAAGACCCGTTTTGCCTCGTCAAAGAGGGGAAAGGAAAATGTCAGGTATGCTTTCAGTTACTACACCAGTTTCTTTGTTATACGTTTATTGATTTCTTGATAACTCTATGCCTTTTTAAGTTGTAACAACTAACTGAAGTTTAGACAAAGCTAATAGGATGGTTACACAAAGGAGACAACTGGTGCGGAAGCAGTTAGCGTACTTGTTGCAACAGGAGCTAAGCGAGATCATGACAGTAACAGTACTCGTGCCAAATATTTCTACGACAGTTTCTTGGATGTAAGTATATGATTAAAATTATCAATTTTAGGTCCTTTCAGTTATGACATACAAAAGTTTGTTGGAGAAATTTTTCCCCTTTGTACTTGATTCAGAATGATAACCTCCATAATTGTGTCAAATGCAGGTTATAAATCGACCTAAGAAAACTGAACGGCCGAATATTAGAACACAGCTTCCACTCCACGAGAGTGTACTTCACAAACCAGATTTCGGAAAGAAATTGATGGGTAAAGCTCTAGTATTTGATATGGATATGAGTGCTGGGGACTTTGTAGTTCTTCTATATCTCCTAAAATTACCTGTGGAAAGGATCAACCTCAAGGTACGATACCGTAAGCTTTGTGAGGTTTAGTGCTACACATGCACTAATTCAAATGAATAGCCTAACTGAGTAGCATTGTAGGGCAGCATGCTAGAAATTACACAATTTGAATACAACTATATGTTGTGACTTTGCTACTAGCTTCCGGGTTCGACATACATGCCTTTGAAGAATGAAGATAAAGCTCTTACTAATACAAAATGATGTTTCCAGGGAATACTTGTTAGTGCTAATGGGTGGGCAACCGCTGCAACCATAGACGTTGTTTACGACATACTGCATATGATGGGCCGTGATGATATTCCAGTTGGTCTAGGAAATGTATTTGCAGTTGGGCAATCTTATTTATCTTTCACTTCTCTTGGAGACTGCACGTACATCAGTTCCATTCCTCAGGGTAGTGGTGGCTCCTTGGACTCTGACACACTCTATGGATTTGCTCGTGCCTTACCTAGTAGTCCTAGGAGGTAGCACTGTCTATTTAAACTAGCAGACATCTCGTTGCTATGATGTTGTATACTAATCTATGTGCCTGATAGGCAGATTTATTATAGGATCCCTTTATGATATCACTTCTTTATGACTATTTCAGATACGGACTAGCAACCAAGGAATTCCCCGGACTTGGACAGCCAACTGCACTAGATGTTTGGAGGTCCATTGTAAAATCACTCGATCCAGGATCCAAGATTACTTTGTTGACCAATGGGCCTTTGACAAATTTAGCCGAAATCATTCTTTCTGAGAACACAGACTCAGTGGTCCAGGTAAATGTCGTCGCTTTGGAAAATTAAGCGTCAATTTGTATGTCATGCCATTATATTGGATTGACATTTTCGTTGTTATGATTTCCCTGCAGGATGTATATATTGTTGGGGGACACATTCGCCATGATAACGAGCAAGGAAATCTGTTTACTGTTCCTTCAAACAAATATGCAGAATTCAACATGTTTCTTGACCCTTTGGCTGCAAAAGCAGTTTTTGATTCGAAACTGAACATAACATTGATTCCATTGGGGATACAGAAGCAAGTCAGTTCCTTTCAGAATATTCTTGATAAATTAAAGCTAACAGATTCGACTCCTGAAGCTGTATTTGCCCAGCATCTGCTTTCAAGGCTATGGAAACTGAAACAGAAGCATCATAGATACCTTCACATGGTAAACTTCCACACTCAGCTACGTATGCAAAGAAAATTCTTTTTATCCTGTTCTGTTAATTTTTCCATCTGATTGAATTCAAGTTTCTATAGTCCTGGATTGGGAGTATTATCTTCAAATACTTGATGGTTAATTTTCTTATTCAAGAATGCAAAATATATGAAATATTAAAACTTGCGGTTTCAACACAAATCCTTGGAGCTGGCAGACAATTACTGTAGGATAGATTACAATTACGGTAAACTAAAGTTAAATGACAGTTTAAGATGGATGATAATTATTTTGATAGACTTGAAATGCACAAAGTGCTAGGGTTCTTCATTCAATGCATGACACTTTGTCGATGAACTTACATTGTTTCCACTCTGTCACTTCACACTTTCACAGGATACATATCTAGGGGAAATCCTTGGTGCCGTAATCTTGGGTAGCAGTCATCCTCAACTAAACCCAACCTTTAAGTTTATGCCCCTCAAGGTGGTGGCTGAGGGAGATGTATCGGTGATCGGGCAGCTACTTGTTGATGAACATCAATCAAAGATGGTGAAGATACTGAGCAGTGTAAATCCAGAGGCATATCATGAAGAATTTGCTAACAAATTAGGTGAACAAAAGAAGTTTGCTGTTGTAGCAAGCTTTGTTGAGGAAAAAAAAATTATCGGGTGCCCAACGAAATAGTAATGATAAATCTGCCCAGCTGGTGATGTTTTTGCTTGACAATTATCATGTGTCTAGTTACATTGTTAATCATTTTCTCTTCCATTTTTGGGTGTGATTTTATGCATATCACAATAATTTATCGGAAGAACACAACTCTGATTTTCAAAATTTTCTGCTATAAAAAAAAATTGCGTTCCATAGAATCTTAGTTTTCTTATTTTGTGTCGAGCGAGAACTCATGAGACGTAGAAAAAACCTAATAGATGATGCAACATAAATTGAACAAGACTGAAAATTCGAAGAGAACCACATACCACCAAGATCCGTTTACTTTTAAAATTTGCAGATGTTTGAGCGTTTTATCTTGTTTTTGCCTGGTTTTGTGATTCTCTACAAGTATTTATATGTTTGATCTCCCTTTCCATGCATTGAACTCATCACACAAATTAATGTGATGCAAGAACCCAACTAATCCCAACAGAACGAGCCTAATACCATATCCTTATGAAGACTCGTATATATTCCTAGTACGTACATGGAATATTATTAAAGCCAAAATTACTCTCTAATACAATGCATGAACTTCCTCGTGCATGAATTTAATCGCAGTAATTCATGTCGGTAAATGCTACTTTGTCCGCATGAATAGATGGGCTGCACTAATTCATTGGCATAACTAGTCTAGTGATAATTCTCTCCATTTTATAGACAAAAATATTGCCCTTTTTATGTTGGATTCGATTCCTATTTAGGCATTTTTGTTGCTACTTATTGCCAAAATGCGTGAATATGTGTTAGAAATGAATTAAATTAATATCTGTGCAGAAATAGACACATGAATTTCAAATGATTCAATAGTATTCAGTTATTTGAAATCTATAAAACTGCACCTTCTCTTTTCTCTGTTCTGTTCATAGTGTGTTGACAATACTATGACAATGATGTTCGGAAGAGTGCTTTGGATGCTTACTGTAATCGGATGTTTCCGAGTTCTGCTAAATCCCGTCGAAGCACAACCTCGCCGGATTCTTGTCGATACAGACGTGGATACAGATGATGTTCTTGCTCTCTTATATCTCTTGAAGCAAAGCAAGACAGAATTCGACTTGACGGTGTTCTTTTTAATTTCCTCTGAGTAACATTTGTACCTTGTTGGCTAAGCTATTGTCTAACTAGAGCATAACTTAATTTTTGCTGCAGGCTATTAGTGTAAATGTAAATGGATGGAGTGACGCTGGGCACGCTGTAAATTATTTATACGACATTCTTGCTATGATGGATCGCAACGACATTCCTGTTGGTGTTGGAGGTGAAGGTGGCATTTTGCCTAATGGAACCATCCTTCCAAATGTTGGGGGATATCTTCCTCTTATTGACCAGGTTTGTGTGTGTTTAGTTAAGAAGTGATCAACATTTGAGATATATACCTAGCTACATATATATATTATTTTTTAATTAAAACAATAATGTCACTTCCACTCCAGCGTTACTATCATAGAAAAAGATATTACCGTGTTGTATATATATATATATATATATATATATATTTAATTAAAACAATAATGTCACTTCCACTCCAGCGTTACTATCATAGAAAAAGATATTACTGTGTTGTATTGAAGAAGACAAAATAAAGATACAAGAACCTCTATGCCAACAAAATCCCAACAAGCTTGAAAAAATTGACTAGTGTAACCATCAGGGCTTGGAGCACTATCTGCTTTCATAGAAAGTACGTCTTTGATGGTTTGAGAAGACGAAATAGCAAGCAGCAACAACAACAACAAAGTCTTATCTCACTAAGTATGGTTGGCTATATGAATTCTAGAACGTCACTACACTTGGTTTTGTGTCAAGTTTTTGGTTAGGTCCAAGTAGTCCAAGTCTTTTTTTAGAGTCTGTTTCCAAGTTTTCCTAAGTATTCTTCTACTTCTTTGGCCCTGAACCTTTGTCTCGTAATCACATCTTTTAACTAGAGCATCTCTGCAAGTCTTCGTTTCATGTGTCCAGACCACCTTAACCGATTTTCTCTCATCTTATCTTCAAGCTACTCCTAATTTACCTTGGATATCTTCGTTCCTAATCTTATCATTTCTCTTGTGCCCACACATCCAACGAAGCATTCTCATCTCCACTACACTCATTTTGTGTATGTGTTAATGCTTCACCGCCAACATTCCGTGTCATAAAGCATTGCTGGCCTTATTACTGTCCTGTAAAATTTTCCTTTGAGCTTTAATGGCATACAACGGTCGCACAACACACCTAATGTACTCTTCCCCTTCATCCATCCAACTTGTATTCTATGATTGAGGTCTCCATCAAATTCTTTCTTTTTTGGCAAAATAGATCCAAGACGAGATAGCAAGCAAAGAAGAATTTTCTAATTTTGACGCTAGTGAACGAATTAATCTTTCAACAAGACCCGTATCACACATAACACCATCATCCGTCAATGCCATAGTAAAGTGACCAATTATGTTACTACGCAAGATATTGGGATCATCAAGTAGATCATTATCGATACGAAGAGAAGATATATGAGAACAAGTGTATGAAAATAATTGGTGTTCCGGTCTCCTTGTGTAGGGAGAATTTTTTCTTGTTACTAGAACATGGGTGGTACACCACGTGTGTCTATATAAGTGGTGAGAAATTATATTTTTTAAATTATTAATGTTTTAACGCACATATCCCACCACTTATATAAATTCACGTGGTGTAACACCCCGTGTTCTGGTCACACTGAAAAATCTCTTCTTTGTAGCCCATTTTATCTTACCTTTTGTAGCCCAAAATTTTTCCTGAACTAACAAAGCTTGTGATGAATTTTCGTTAGCCAAAATTTCTTCTGCATATCGCGCTTCAGAGAAACCCTCAAGCGCCAACATTTGATATAACATTCATACAATGGTTGCACTTGATTACAGGGCGACTCCACAGCCGGCGGTTGCAGATACAAGCAGGCAGTACCGCCAGGCCAACATGGTCACCTAGATATAAATACAAACTACGGCGTACGCAGGGCTTTACTTCCCCAGGGTGACAAGAAATATGTACCACTTCAACAACCTACAGCTCAACAAGTGATGAAAGATGCAATATCTGCAGGTCCTATCACTGTGCTTATTATGGGAACCCACTCAAATTTAGCCGTTTTTCTTATGACGAATCCTAGTCTGAAGAAAAATATTGAGCATATATATGCCATGGGAGGTGCTGTCAGATCAAACTGCTCCGAAAATGCAACTTCAGTGCTGTGTGGTGACATTGGTAATCTGTTTCGACAAGACATCAATCCATACGCTGAGTTCAATATATTTGGAGATCCTTTTGCTGCGTACACGGTATATAGTTGTTTGATGGCCATTCTATGCCTAGTTAAAATACAATATTGGTAATGTAATTTACATATCAGGTATTGCATTCTGGCATTCCAGTCACGCTTGTTCCTCTGGATGCAACAAGAACGATTCCTCTAGATGAGCCATTTTTCAAAGCATTTGAGCAGAAACAGGATACATATGAGGCACAATATAGCTTCCAGTCCTTGAAAATGGTTCGTGATACATGGCCAAATGATGAATTTTATAAGGTAGTTTCCTATGATATCTTGTTCTTCTATGCATGAGCTAAAATTCTGTAATTATTCACTGCTTCTTAATATTAAGTTGAATGTCTACCTCTGATATATATTCATGAGTTATTGACAATTTCGCAGCAATTTTGCATGTGGGATTCTTTTATGGTTGGTGTAGCGTTATCTCAAATGCGTAGTTCAGAGAGAGATGACAAAGAAAATGAATTTGCCAAATTGGAGTACATGAACCTCACAGTGATTACTTCGAATATACCTTATGGAATATCAGACGGCTCAAACCCTCTCATTGATGGACGTTTGATCCCAAAGTTCGGTGTACAGAAGAAAGGGGTGCATAGTGGTCATGTTCAGATGGGAATGGAAGATCCGTTTTGCCTTGTCAAAGAGGGGAAGGGAAAATGTCAGGTATGCTTTCTAGTTAATGCACCAGTTTCTTTGTTATACGTTTATTTATTTCTTGATAACTCTGGCTTTTAAGTTGTAACAACTAACTGGAGTTTAGACAATGCTAATAGGATGGTTACACAAAGGAGACTGCTGGTGCGGAAGCAGTTACCGTACTTGTTGCAACAGAAGCTAAGCGAGATCATGACAGTAACAGTACTCGTGTCAAAGATTTCAACGACAATTTCTTGGATGTAAGTTTATGATTAAAATCTATCAATTTTAGGTCCTTTCAGTTATGACATACAAAATTTTGTTAGAGAACCTTTTTACCTTCGTATTTGATTCAGCATAAGATCTTCCATAATTGTGTCAAATGCAGGTTATAAATCGACCTAAGAAAACTGGACGGCCGAACATTAGAACGCAGCTTCCACTCCACGAGAGTGCACTTCGAAAACCAGATTTTGGAAAGAAATTGATGGGAAAAAACCTAGTCTTCGATATGGATATGAGTGCCGGGGATTTCCTAGCTCTTCTATATCTCCTAAAATTACCTGTGGAACGGATTAACCTCAAGGTACGATACTGCCTTTGTAAGCTTTGCCAGGTTTGGTGCTACACATGCACTAATACAAATGAATAGCCTAACTGAGTAGTTTTGTAGGATGGCATGCTAGCAATTACACACTTTGAATACAATCAATAGTATCTATATGTTGTGACTTTGCTATTAGCTTCCGGCTTCGACATACATGCCTTTGAAGATATAGCTCTTACTAATACAAAATGATGTTTCCAGGGAATACTAGTTAACGCTAATGGGTGGGCAACCGCTGCAACCATAGATGTTGTTTATGACATACTGCATATGATGGGCCGTGATGATATTCCTGTTGGTCTTGGAAATGTATTTGCAGTTGGTCAATCTTATTCATCTTTCTCTTCTCTCGGAGACTGCACGTACATCAGTTCTATTCCTCAGGGTAGTGGTGGCTCCTTGGACTCTGACACACTCTATGGATTTGCTCGTGCCTTACCTCGTAGTCCTAGGAGGTAGTACTGTCTATTTAACTTAGCAGACATCTAGTTATGATGTTGTTTAAGAATTTAGGTGCATGATAGGCATATTTAATATATGGCTTCTTTGTGTCCATTTCAGATACAGACTAGCAACCAAGGAATTCCCCGGACTTGGACAGCCAACTGCAATAGATGTTTGGAAGTCCATTGTAAAATCACTCGATCCAGGATCCAAGATTACTTTGTTGACCAATGGACCTTTGACAAATTTAGCCGAAATCCTTCTTTCTGAGAACGCAGACTCAATGGTCCAGGCAAATGTCGTTGCTTTGGAAGATTAAGCCTGAATTTGTATGTCTTGCTTTTATATTTGATTGACATTTTCATTGTTATAATTTCCCTGCAGGATGTATATATTGTTGGGGGACACATTCGCCATGGTAACGAGCAAGGGAATCTGTTCACTGTTCCTTCAAACAAATATGCGGAATTCAACATGTTTCTTGACCCATTGGCAGCAAAAGCAGTTTTAGATTCGAAACTGAACATAACATTGATTTCATTGGGGATACAGAAGCAAGTCAGTTCCTTCCAGAATATTCTTGATAAATTAAATCTAACAGATACGACTCCTGAAGCTGTATTTGCCCGGGATCTACTTTCAAGGTTATGGAAACTGAAGCAGAAGCATGACAGATACCGTCACATGGTAAATTTCCACAAACACAGCTATGTATCTAAAGAAAATTCTTTTTAATCCTGTTCTGTTAATTATTCCATCTGATTCAATTCAAGTTTCTATAGTTCCGGAATGGGAGTATTATCTTCAATGCATGACACTTTGTCGATGAACTTACATTGTTTCAGTTCTGTCACTACTTTCACAGGATACATTTCTAGGGGAAATCATTGGTGCCGTAATCTTGGGTAACAGTCATCCTCAACTAAACCCAACCTTTAAATTTATGCCCCTCAAGGTGGTGGCCGTGGGAGATGTATCGGTAATCGGGCAGCTACTGGTCGATGAACATCAATCAAAGATGGTGAAGATACTGAGCAGTGTAAATCCAAAGGCATATCATGAAGAATTTGCTAACATATTAGGTGAACAAAAGCAGTCTGCTTCGTAGCAAGCTTTGTTGTGGAAAAAAAGATTATTGGGTCCCCAACCAAATTGTAATGATAAATTAATCATCTGCCCAACTGATGATGTTTTACCTTGATAATTGAAACTTGTTTTGTTACATTGTTGACCTTTCTCAGCCATTTTTGTTTGACAGTGAAGAAAAACTAAAAGGAAAGTTATAAGCTTGAGAATGCTCTTTCTCCATTTTCTCAATCTTGACTTTACCGTTTTATGTGAGTCATTTTCGACAAGAGTTCTTTCTCTAAGCCTGCACCTATAATAATTACCCTCCTTTGTAACTCTCATTTTTCATTCACGCCCCCTTCGTTTTCCCTTATTTGATTAAGATGATATTTAATAATCTAATTTAAACTACAAGAAGAGAAATTTGATGTTATGTGTAGAGAAGATAGCACATCGTTTTAGTTCACTTGGTTAAAGCCAGGTTCAATAGTTGGAAGATATCTCTATCATCCTACTCGACCAAATCATGAATAAGGATTGGAATCATGGAATTATATGGATATGTTGAGTTCATAATATATGCCTACTACTTGCCCTTCAAATGTAGGTGCATAGTTGTCAACGTTTAGAGGTGGCTATCCGTACCTCATTTTATTTAAAATATAAATAAGAAGGAAGAAAAAAGTGGTTCATCTTTGGAACATGGAAAAATAAAAATACAAAAATATTAGATACAGTTGGACCAAGGAGCACAAAATCATATATAGAAGATACTTTGGCACTACAGCATGCATGTATATGTAATATATAATTAATGGCATTTGTTTCCACACTGCTCTCCATCCAGAGTGTCCTGAGATTATCCCACGCCTCATTAAAATATTTGAGTGTAACTTGACCTTATACAGATCAACTTTTATAAATTACTAGCCTTGGGGTCAAGAAATCTATTAATTTAGTGGAATATTAAATAACCGACAAATTAATAATTTAATTTATAGATTGACTAATAACTTATTGATTTATCAATTCAAGATAGTTTTATTTATATTTAAATATTATACATTGTATTTAGTTTTTCATTTTACAAACTAACAATTCTATATATTTGTTTAATCAAGTAAAATTCATAAATTTACTTTTTTTCTTTTAAAAAATAGATTGTACATTGTTCAATGTACTATATTATTCCAACTTTTGAGATCCAAGGTGACATCAATTTCCAAGAAGAAACAAATAATGACTGAGTCATATTTTAAGAAAGTCTCATAGACAAAGCATAAACATTATGTATCTGGAAATTATTAAGTTGTATAGTACGTGGGATCTATTTAAATATATATATATATATTTTTTGATAATGTTTATTTTATAAATTTAGTAAATTATTAGTTTAACAAATTATCCACGAGTTAGGACCTGCCAAAAATATTATAGAACCGAGGTTATTAAGTTTTTCTTAAATTATAGAATAATCTTAAGTTTTTCTCTTCTAATTTGTTTGGGTAAATATATGAGAGGAGTGCTCCAATAGTTTTTGGCAGAGAAGCCACCAATTTCCTCTTTTTGATGGAAACATTGAAAAGAAAAAGAAACGTCTTTATCAAACTTATGATAATGTGGCACAATACCCTCTTTCATAATGATGAAAACTTCCTCATAAATTTCCACAACCACAAATCATTGTGTTTTTTTTTCTTAAGATTTAGGGTAATTCAATAGATCGATTGAGGTAATGTGTCTGTCTCTATACATTTAAGTTTGAATTCTTCATGTGCCACTTAGTGATGTTTCTCTTTACTGGTAAATGAGAGATCTTAGATTCGATTTTCGTCAAAAATGAATTTGAACCACATTACTAGCCTATTGTGAGGATTAACCCACTCTCGTACCCCTTAGTATAAATAATATTGTTTGTTAAAAAAAAGTTTGAGTTCCCCACCTTACCTTTTCCTTTTTGTAAACTAAATTAGTTTAGATTATATCTTATAAAAAAAGGAAAACTAATGATAAGGGCTTGAAAACTTTGAATATTAACCAAAAACCATGTACTAACTTTATTTAATGGTTAGGACAAAGCCCAATACTAAACTAGCCCAATTAAAATGACCTAAGCAATGAATTTTCTATTTTGCCCCTGACTGCAATTTAATGTTCGTTTACCATCCATAACCTCAAATCTCCTTCAATCTTGGCAATTCCAATTCCAACTCTGAACCAGAAAAAGCAAAAGATTCAAAATTCAAATCCAAATCGTTCAATCCAAACGGGATGAATAAGATAATTTTCAAGAAAGATTGAATAATCCATATTATTTGATAGCTTCTTGATGAATTGGTGGGTGGGGTCTTGGAGTCCAAGACAGAGCGTCTCCTGTGTTTAAAATCTCTCTCCGCTGTATCGTCGACCACCCGGCTTGCAATTAGAAGGCTCTCTACGTCCCAATCGGCCACCGCGGCCATGGATTTGAATCTGGGGTTGAATATAATAGCATTGCCGATGGTGCCTCTAATTTCGACTTCAACTGAGTTTGATTCTCTTTGCTGGTTTTTATCGGACTTTGTTGTGGCTCTTCTTTCCCCGCCAGTTTTCGTTTTCCGTTTTCAAAAAATACATAACGTATTAAATATCTTTTGTTTTATGTTTGTTACGTGTCTATATTTTGTATACGTATGGAGGTATGCATGTGTATGTGTAGAGTAGCGATCCATTGGGATCAGGTAATAGGTAATCTCCCCTATTTCAGTTTGAAACCTGCACTGCTAACAAGCTAGGTGGCTTAAGTGCTTAATGTAAATTCGCAGGATGGATAAGTCTAGCAAGCTTGGAGGCGAGACCTACACAAAACGTGCCAACATTTGTTCAATGCTGTTGCTAGTTAATTGACACGTTTTCATGCATGTGTCAATTTCCTTAGATGATTATGCTGGCATATTGTTAACACAAATACCTTCACAAGCCTAATCATTTACCCTACATTTATCGACATATTTACTTGGCTGCTAAGTACTTGACTACTAAGCCTTAGTAGGTTTGTAGCCGACCTCCACATCTATAAATAGCGATCACCACTTCTGAAATTTTCATCTCTCTTCCTACCCGTCAGTCACAATGCAGGCATATGTTGGAGTAGTTGCACACATAATATTAGTATTATATCTATAGAGAGATATTAAAAAACAAAAGAAAAGAGTGCAAATGTGTCAGTAGATTAGAGGTGATACAACCCACTATGATGCAGTTGCGAATCCAGCAGCATCTGGAGCACTTTCAGTCGGATTGAAATTAGCTCGGTGCGAAACAATGCCTTGGAAAGGCAGTGAAGGTAAAGCTGAATGGAACGAGGGTCCCTATAAAGTCATTTCTTGATTATGTTGACCCTACTTACAATATGATCAATTATTATCATATGCTTGTTGATTAAGATCAAGATGCTTAATTATTATTATTATTCTATTATTTTCTTAAACGAACACTGACTATTTATCAAACGAACACTAGTACTATGACTATTTTGTAAACTAAACAATGACTATTTCTTAAATGGAACACTAGTACTATCACTGTTTCGTAAACTAAACATTGACTATTTATCAAACGAACACAAGTACTATCACTGTTTCGTAAACTAAACACTGACTATTTATCAAACGAACATTAGTACTATCACTATTTCGTAAACTAAACACTTATTATTTCTTAAACGGAACACTAGCACTATCACTTTTTCGTAAACTAAACACTGACTATTTCTTAAACGGAACACTAGTACTATCGCTTTTTCGTAAACTAAATATTGACTATTTATCAAACGAACAATAGTACTATCAATGTTTCGTAAACCAAACACTGACTATTTATTAAACGAAACACTAGAACTATCACTATTTCGTAAACTAAACACTGATTATTTCTTAAACGGAACACTAGTATTATCAATGTTGTACTATCATTGCTTCGTAAACTAAACACTGACTATTTCTTAAACGGAACACTAGTACTATCACTTTTTCATAAACTAAACACTGACTATTTCTTAAACGGAACAATAGTACTATCACTATTTCGTAAACTAAATATTGATTATTTATCAAACGAACACTAGTACTATCATTGTTTCATAAACTAAACACTAATTATTTATTAAACGGAACACTAGTACTGTCACTATTTCGTAAACTAAACACTGATTATTTCTCAAACGGAACACTAGTATTATCACTATTTCTTAACTGAACATTGACTACTTCTTAAAATGAACATTATTTCTTAAATTAAACACTGATTATATCTTAAACCGAACATTAGTACTATCACTATTTCTTAAACTGAACACAAGTACTCACTATTTCGAAAACTAAACACTGACTATTTATCAAACGAATACTAGTACTATCACTGTTTCGTAAACTAAACACTAACTATTTCTCAAACGGAACACTACACACACACACACATGAGTTCAATTTTATAATGAGATAGATCGAATGCAATTGCACGAGACTTCCAAACATAATCATAAACTAGTTTAAAAAAAATAACATAATCATAAACATTGATGTCAGTCTCGCACTTTAAGTTTCACTGATCCAATCTTCCCTTAACCTTCATTATTTTGTAGTGATTTGTGTAGAAGTTTGGATTATACAAGTGAATGTGCAATGTGATACACTCGGTGAAATTATGCCATTTTCGAATCTAAAGTTCATTATTTTGTAGTGATTTGTGGAATTTAATTTTTTTTTAAATTTATTTGATGGGAGGCAAGGCGAGGAATTGGAGTTAATTAATTATGTTCGGGGTTAATTGGTATCGACTAGCAAAAGATTTTTTTTTTTGGACGAATCCTCTAGAAAATGGCATATTTGTAAATAAATGAGGCAATGACATATTTGTAAATAAATGAAAGTTTAATTATAACAAAAGTGGGCTAACGGAAGGCAAGGGCATGGATGGAAAATGAATTTCTTATTTTGCACGTGAGGCTTCCTTGTTTTGGTTATTCTTTCTAGTTTTTGTCCTTTTTCATTAAAGTTTAAGTCATTTTTATTAAATAAAGTTAGTAAATGGTTTTTGGTTAATAAAAAGTTTGAAAAAGCTTTTTTCATTAAAGCTCCCTATAAAAAATGAATTATTATGTTGGCTTTCCCTTGGGTGATCCTACTTGAAATATGAAAAAGTAACTTTCAGTGTATTAGTTATTAGATTTGAGAAATTGGTTTTTACTATTGATTGTACTCAAAGTTTACCACTCTAGCTCCCATATCAGAGAAAAAGTGCAGATGGTGACTTATTATCATTTGGTTTTTTTTA